AGGTTTCCTCCTGTAGAAACACTGGATCAATAAGAGATGATTCTTACTGGACCTCCAGGAAGAATAGTTTAGAACTGATAGAGCTATCCAGTGTAAATAAAGTTAGTTTAGTTTAGGTTTCCTCCTGTAGTAAGATTGGATCAGTAACAGATGATGTTTATTGGACCTCTAGGAAAAACAGTTTAGAACTGATAGAGCTATCTAGTATAGATAATTATTAAAGTTAGTTTAGTTTAGGTTTCCTCCTGTAGTAACACTGGATCAATAACAGATGATCCTTACTGGTCCTCTAGGAAGAACAATAACAATCAGTAGTTTTCCTCAAATTTTGAGTCAAATATTTTTTCAATGCAAACTGCATTTCGTAAACTGTATGTCATTCAAATGCTGACCTGCCCATCATTTTGCCCGATTTTCATCCTTGTGCGCCCCAAACCTTTGCCTCGTCAGGCAAAAACACAGAGCTCTATATAATCTGGAATCCGGAGCTGTTCTTTGTGACTATATTAACTTTTTTCGACGTCACATATATTTTCGATGAAAAGTGTTCAAAACCTAAAATCTTTTTGGCGTTCCTCTCAAAATTACTTTGTTTTAGCTTTATTTTGCAGTTTACACAGTCAGCAACCTTTTTAAATGTATCTGGCGGTTGAGAAACACAAAATAATAGTTAAATATTGTCAATTTAAATACAATTATCATTGATGAAGAAATGAAATTAATTATCAATGATTCTTTAAATGTGACGCCATATATACCGCAAATATAATTGCGAGCAAAACTTACTTAACTTCAGACATAATTTTCTCTTTGGCGTACCATCTAGAATCTCTTCATTTTAGCATAATTTTACAGAAACAGCACTAAAGATACTTTTTAAGTTCGTTTGCCGCTTGAGAAATGTATAAAAAATTTTAAAAATTGAATATAGTCATAACGAAGTCGAAAAGTACATTCATTAATTTTGAGCGCGCGTTACGAAACATACAAAAGATTCTCCTGTTAACAATTCAATACTTTGTCTTTGTGTGACATGCATATTTTAGATATTCCAGTGTTTGCTATACATGTTATGATTAATGACTGAACTGCCATTTATCCCGGCGCAAAACGCGCCATTTTCGACCATTTCGATGCCGACGAGTCGCTACCACAAATTGTAATTGGTTTACTGGCTTTAAAAGTCCCTAGACTTAGTTGCGCAACTAAAACAGCTAAAAATAACTATAGTCATTATATGTTAAGCTTTTGGACAGCTGTGTTATTATAAGACGTAAACAAGCTCTGACAAAATTGTGAATTATATCGCGCCATAGCACAAGTCACTCCCATTACAGAGAAGCGTGCGGGCAGACTTATTAACAGATGAACATTCGTTTACATTTCGACATCTCTCTATTTGCAAATTGTCGGCAGCCAATTAACGCGTGTCTGAAATTGTTGGAAGTGCATTAAATTTTAAGTCTACCAGATGGCAAATTACTAGTGAAAACACAATATCGTGTTAGCAATAGCGATGAATTTGCATCCATCGTTGATATATTTGACGTTCCAGTTTGTTAAATTGTATTTATTTATGCATGGCTCTTTCAGTTCTAAACTGTTCTTCCCAGAGATCCAGTATGGCTGTAACTGGATAATCCCTAACTAATCGGTCCAGTAGGAAACTTAAACTAAACTAACCCGGCTTAATTATACTACTGGATAGCTTTATCAGTTCTAAACTGTTCTTCCTAGAAGTCTAGTATTCAGTAAACTGTTCTTCCTAGAAGTCTAGTATTCAGTAAGAGTCATCTCTGATTGATCCATGCAGTTTTACTACAGGAGGAAACCTAAACTAAACTAACTTTATTTATACTGAATAGCTCTATCAGTTCTAAACTGTTCTTCCTAGAGGTCCAGTAAGGATCATCTGTTATTGATCCACTGTTATCTACAGGAGGAAACCTAAACTAAACTAACTTTATTTACACTGGATAGCTCTATCAGTTCTAAACTGTTCTTCCTAGAGGTCCAGTAAGGATCATCTCTTATTGATCCAGTGTTACTACAGGAGGAAACCTAAACTAAACTAAATTTATTTATACTGGATAGCTGTATCAGCTATAGGGTTGCAGTGTACTTTAAACAGCCATGGCATTTGTCCTGTCACAATTTATGTATTATCGATTGAATTATATTGCAGGGGGAGGGGGAACCCTGTGTTTCTGGCTCGACGCATACAGAGCTATAAGTCACTGGCGGTCCGCTTTCAAATGCATCGCCTGTTCATAGCGCGCAAGGCAAGATTCATCCTGCTCTTTGTAAAAGAAGCATTGCACCATTGGTCTTTGGCAACTGCAGATGCAGGATATGTTCTAATAATTAAACCCCCAGCCCTATCCATGCATCTGCATTGTATTACTGCTATAACTTACTTCAAATCCCCTGCAAAACTTTACGGAATTCTTCTTCCAGCTCTTCGCAAAGAAACGCTGTTGACAAAAAACAATTACTGCGAAGTAATGTTTAATTCGTCACGTTGTTAGCAACAAAAGCTACATACTGTTTTATTTAGTTCTCCAAAGTGTAAACAGTGCAGACCAAGTCGTTAATTACCGCTATCTCTGGCAGTTTCGAGTGTCAGACAGCCATCGCGGTTCGCTACATGTAAATTGCATTGACATCTGGTCGATAATGCTAAATTCAAGTTCGACCGAAAATGTGTTTTGACATCGCCTCAAAAACCACAATTTAAAAGCAAAAGGTTTTTTAAAAGATCACGTATAGCGTTTTGAGACAATTTCGCGTTTTTTAGGCGGTTTTGACAATCGCAGTATTGTACAATTTTTGCTTGTAATTTATAATTGGATTGGTTTTCTGTAAGCGATTTAGTGAGATAGCTGCATGTGCCTGTGTGCATATAAATTGGCTCGATTAGCCTCGTTCAGGTGAAATTGGGCACGTTTTGATAAGAATCAGATAAGAAGCACTGATGCACAGCTATAGTATAGCTACTGCATGGTTTCATGGTCTGACATTGAACCGGTAAATAGTTATATCAGAATGAGGAATGTTTCATTATATGCAGTAGCCTGTATATATGCAGACAAATGAATAATTGAGGGACACCGGTTAATTGTCTTTCTGCTCCAAAGAAATCTATAACTATATAGAATAATTATGGGTTATTCAAACTAGCAAGGTCAATCAGAAGCTGTACTGACTGAACTTCGTTGGAAAACACTTAAGTCAATCAGTCTTAACCTTAAAGGCATAAAGCCAGACTCGTGTATAAGATTATTCATAGTTTTGCTCGAGCTGCGTGTCGTTACCATAGATATCTTATATGGTCGTTACTGAAATAGTTTCAAGTGCATCAGTTGTCAAGACCTCTGACCTCATAATTACAACTAAATGAAATTATAGAAATGCTGTGAACTATAGGAGTGTAGCAAGTTTCAGTTCGCTTGTACGTGCAATTTACTAGCCTGAATGCCTGATACGATTTTGTTTGTATAATTATATACTTATAGTTATGTAGACGTTTCTAATTAACCCCCAAATATTTTTGTTCTTGTAGGCACTCGACAAGACAATGGAAATACTAGGAGAGAATATGGGTCTATCAAATCTTAACTATATATCTTCTAGAGATACTCCATTATTTGCGATGATTCTTAGGTAAGCTTAATCTTTTTGACGACCAGTTGAAACTAAACGACCTTTATATATACTGGATAACTTTTTCTGTTCTAAACTGTTCTTCCCAGAGATCCAGTAAGGATCATCTCTTATTCAACCAGTGTTACTACAGGAGGAAACCTAAACTAAACTAACTTTATTTATACTGGATAGCTCTATTCGACTATCAGTTCTAAATTGGTCTTCCTAGAGGTCCAGTAAGAGTCATCTCTTATTGATCCAGTGTTACTACAGGAGGAAACCTAAACTAAACTAACTTTATTTGTACTGGATAGCTCTATCAGTTCTAAACTTTTCTTCCTAGAGGTCCAGTAAGGATCATCTCTTATTGATCCAGTGTTACTACAGGAGGAAACCTAAACTAAACTAACTTTATTTATACTGGATAGCTCTATCAGTTCTAAACTGTTCTCCCTAGAGGTCCAGTAAGGATCATCTATTATTGATCCAGTGTTACTACAGGAGGAAACCTAAACTAAACTAACTTTATTTATACTGGATAGCTCTATCAGTTCTAAATTGTTCTTCCTAGAGGTCCAGTAAGGATCATCTCTTGTTGATCCAGTGTTACCACAGGAGGAAACCTTAACTAAACTAACTTTATTTATACTGGATAGCTCTATCAGTTCTAAATTGTTCTTCCTAGAGGTCCAGTAAGGATCATCTCTTGTTGATCCAGTGTTACTACAGGAGGAAACCTAAACTAAACTAACTTTATTTATACTGGATAGCTCTATCAGTTCTAAACTGTTCTCCCTAGAGGTCCAGTATAAGGGTCATCTATTATTGATCCGGTGTTACTACAGGAGGAAACCTAAACTAAACTAACTTTATTTATATTGGATAGCTCTATCAGTTCTAAACTGTTCTTCCTAGAGGTCCAGTATAAGGGTCATCTATTATTGATTCAGTGTTACTACAGGAGGAAACCTTAACTAAACTAACTTTATTTATATTGGATAGCTCTATCAGTTCTAAACTGTTCTCCCTAGAGGTCCAGTATAAGGGTCATCTATTATTGATCCGGTGTTACTAGACAGGAGGAAACCTAGACTAAACGTTATTGTTACTGGATACCTGAAATCATTCATCGATGTATGACTATAAGATGAAATTAGCAGGAGTCGAGTTATAACTATTAATGCTACAAATTGTTAGCTAACCAATTTAAAATAAATGTTACCTTTATAATAGCTGTTAGCAGTTTCAGGCAAATTGACAAAACGTTGCGACTTTTGTGTTAGCGTCTTCCAGATGCGAACGCGTGAAAAGTGTTAGCATTCTAGACTGAAGTGAGACTGTAGAAATAATTAAAACTCTACATTGATTACGAAGTGAAGACATTACAATTGCCGAGGCATGCTGAATAATTTCAACACCTTCAGACGTCATCATTTTCAATTGATAGATGTATCTAGGTTTTATTCCGAGATATGTCTAGGAATGTATATATGTCGTTATTGTAATACAGCAGTTTTTTGACCCGGGCTAAAGATTTCGGATTATCAAAGACAAGAACCGTTTCCTAGCGAAAATATTTGTGCGTTTCAACGCGACGTGCATAATTCCATAAATGATTTATTAACAACCTGCAAAATTCTCAACAATGTTCTACAGAGGCAGATCTAGCCTCATCTGCAAGGAGGGGTGCAGGTTTTCCATGGGGTGGTGCATGAGGGAGCCTTACTGCCCACTCTCCTCTGCAGTCTGCAACGCTACTATCCCAACATTACCATGATTTGAGATGGCCGAATCTGCATGTTCGCCGTTCTGTTACGTTTTACATTAGATATCTTACGATTTTAGGACGGCAACGCGACGACGACGGCCAAAACAAACTCCTTCAAATAAATGGTAGTAAAAATAGTTCGTCGTATATTATCAATTGTATGAATTTAATACAGTCTTAGAAGTTGAAGGCATGAGTGTTATGGCTGGGAAGAGTTCTGCTGAACTCAGTTTGAAGTTGCACTTGTTGCGGCTTGGAATGCAGCCGTTGTATCAAGACGTGAAAATCTGTGATTTGGCGTTGTAAACAGAGCGAGGATAATGCCTTAATTATTCATATATTGTATTATTATTCAATTCCCTTTAGTGATTTATTGTATTGGTAGCCGTTGCGTTGCCAATCGTAAGGTCTCTAATATCTTTAACAGATCCGCCCACGATGTTATATACATACTTTAAACAAATCTCTAAATTCCTACAAGTTTGTTTCCCTCATAAATTGCAATATATTCCGATTTTTATCGAGTCCAAATTCTGAGCTTCCACAGAAGTCGCTAGAATTGTCTTTTTCACACTCGCTTGACTTCGTGTTTTGAAGATCGTTTTCCGTGCTCTTATTCACATCGCGTTCTGGCCATCTCGTGTTCCGAAGCGTGTTTGGTTCAGAATCTTCCGTTTCGTTGGAGCTTTCTTGCAATGCGTGTTGCACGATCCTTTCATTCGTGTTGTAATATTGGCGATCCGTGTTATCAGGTTGTTTTGTGAGCTCGCAATTCGTGTTCTGAACCGTTTCGCTCGTCAAACTGAAAGTGTCGCTGTCTCGATTCAATGTTGCACTGGAGTCGCTCGATATCGATCGTGCATCGTTTAACGTTTCATTTGATTTGCACTGTGAGGCTTCGCTCGTGTCACGCTCTTCCCTATTAGTGTCACGTTGTGGTTCTTCCGTGTGACATTGTGCTCGACTCGTGTCACGAGACTTTTGATCCGAATCGCACAGCTTCTTCGTGTCCTGTTGTTCCCCGTTCGTGTCACGGAATTCTTGATTCGTGTCACGACAATCTTGACTCGTGTCACGTAACCTATTATCCGTGTCACGGTATCTTAGTTTCGTGCCGTGTTCCCCTGGTATCGTGTTGTTCGCATCCTTTGCGTTCGGACCGTTCGGCGCTTCATCTCTCGTTTTTAAAATCGTGTAGTTTGTATTTTTTCGAATGGCTGTTCGTGAAAACGATTTACGATGCAATCCTTCGACCGTGCCAACGGAGCTTCCACTTCCCTTGCTGCGTGAAAAACCTGTAGTGCTGGTCAATTGCTCCATGACTTGCGATCTCAGTGTTCGATGGCAGATCATTTGAACGGCGCCGAATATGAACGGGTTTATGGCCGAATTTGCGTAGAGGATGATGGCGGAGAATGCTTGTAGGTGTTCGTCGTAGGGATGGTATTCGTTTGTTCTGAATGAGAGCCACATCCAGTAACAATCTCCTGGTAATACGCAGATGACGAACATAATTACGGCTGTACTGAATATCTAGGAGAGTGATATGTTAGTTATGGTGATGATGGTGATGATGATGATGATGATGATGTAAACAGTAAATTAAGATTTGGCGTTTGAAGTTGACGTTTGGCGTATAAATTTCATGCTTTAACGACTACAAGCCCTCGTAGCAGTTCAAGCATGAAATTTATACGCCAAAAGTCAACTTCAAACGCCAAATCTTAGTTTACTGCTTTGGTGAATAGCACGACTAGTGGTTAATTTGCTTTCTTAAATCATTGCAACCGTGATTGAACGAAACGCGATCCAAATGATAATTTAACTTGTTTGGGATCAGATTAACCGTAACTCGTTTACATCTTTCAAACGTTGGGGCTTAACTCGAAGAAAAAAATGTTTGACTTTGCTCGAGAAAGCCCCTATTTTCTAGAGAGCTTAACTCGAAGTATCTAACTTCAGTTATGTACTTCGAGTTAAGCCCTCAACGGAAATGGGTGTGGCATGAGCGGTTGTAGGGGCATAACTCGAAAGGGCGTGGTCGGGGCTTAACTCGAAGGGCTTAACTCGAGGGGCTTAACTCGAAGATTTGCTACCCCGTGTGACGCAAGCTATCCTACCTTAATAACCTTCTTATTTTGTTGTAAGCGTTTCATAGTCGCCAAATTCTGCTTCGCTGACGTGCACTCCTTTCTGTTAAACTTCTTAAATTTCGTATTCAGCACATAGCCAGCTTTTGCATAACAATACGTTATGATAGTCAATGGTATGCAGTAGTCGATAATGAACAATGCCACCGTATAGTATTTTGCATTCTCGGGAACAGACCAAACTTCCCAGCAACCATTGTCAATGTATTTCAACGCTTTGGCGTAAGGAACAACAATTGCTATTGCTATCAGCCAAATGAACACTATGCTCACACGGATCCATTTTGGTTTTAACCTACGATACAACCCAAGATAATATTGGCAGCGGTCATTATTTATGGCGGGGGGTGGCACCGAATAGAAAAGGGTTGGGTAAACAAAATTTTGAGTGAGTAGAAGGTTGGGTAAATGAAAAACAAAACAACTCAAGGGTTGGGTAATAAAAATTTATTGTCATTTCCAAAGCATGACTCACTCAAATGTCGAAGACTAAAAAGCAATGTCAACAGTCGTATGTCAATACAATATGTAAATCAATCAGAGTAACTATCTTGATCATTTTTCGATTTGCCAGGAGGCAAATGGTGTCTCCAAAGAAAGTACATGTGCAGACGACATGAAACTTTAGACTGCAGAAAATTGCACAAGCAGTTATCAAACTCGTGTCACAGAAGTGGTAAAGGACATGTCCAATTTGAAATTGCACAGAATTTAATTCTTAGTAAATTGTGATCCACTTTAACCAGCGACTTTAACCTTAGTTTATTTTGTTTTTAGCATGGCAAAGTGAAAACTTGGTAACATGGAATAAAATGGTAAGCTTAAACGATCTAATTAATTAAATTACTTGTGATTGTATTTTGTGGAAGAGAGACGGGAAGATTTTTATCGCACAAAAA